ACTTCATGGTTTCTATATACTAGATGCTTGTACATATTCATTATTTCTAGGAATGGGTGTATATAATTATAATTAGCTCTCAGAAATCATTATCATATTGTCCTCCTTTGTCTCCTCCCACTTGATGCTGGTCCAACAGCTTCTGGTGGTCACTCAGGGGTCTTCAGGAGGAAGGCTGGTAGTCTTCATTGGGTTGAATGTTTTGCCTTTGGGTTTAATACATGCTCTGTAGTCCTGGTTTCCTATTTCTAGCCCTCAGAACTGGTAGTATTCAGTTTATCTTCCTCTTATGTTCTTGTCCACCCAGTTTGTCATCCTTTTATCTTCTGGTTCTACTTGAATTTTATCATTTACATCCATTCACAGTTTAAGCAATCCTACAAGTATGCTGACTTAGGTTCGTGAACATAAGCTCTTCTGAAGAACATCCTGATAAAATGCTTGGCTATTTTATTTTCTTCGCATCACTTAGGCTAGAGGCAAACCTCTAGATTTTTCTGCCTCTGTAGAGTGGAGGTTAATACAGTTTCCAAGCAGCAGAGGATACTTGGTGATACATCTCAGCTTCCAGAGTTAAAGTGAGAGTTTTAAACAAAATCACGGTTTGCAAGAAAAGTGGAAATGTCATGCCAGTGGCAGGAAATACAGCCTGATGTCTTTTGCCACAAGGCAGTTGGAAGACAGCAACATGTCTTGGGCTGTGTAACCCCCATGAGCAGGTCCATCTCTCATTCTTTGTTCATGCAGCTGTTACCAGTGCTAAGGTGTCAGAATATCCAGAACTTGTCAGTTTCAGGATGAAAAGCAGCGGCCTCAAACTCCACACTTGGCCCCTTTAGTATTTCCTCAATAGTAATGTTCTTCAAGAAAATCTTAGACATCACTTTCTTAAACTCTGCCACAGCTCCAAACACTAGAAGGAGTAAAACCATTGTAGAGCTCACAATAATCACCAAAGCTGGATAAGTAGTTACCTGCAATGAGTAAAATGCCTTCTTTTACTTTCCACCTGAAAATAAACTTTAGAATATGTAGTTGGATCTCTCTCTTGGCACATCATGTGTGTTTAATTCCATATACTGGGAGCTGATGAATTTAAAGATGAACATTGCATGTAAGGATTTCAACTGATATAAAATGTGGCTGCAAGTCTTAAGGCATTTTTAATTTTTTAGTCTTGCAACATAAGACAAGTCCTTAGATTTCTCTTTTAATAAGAAATGATGAAGAGCACTTCTGATACTCTTTAGATGCCATGTGCTTCCTGTGAACTGCTGTTTCAAATGGCTTATGTCATTTATTTGTACAAAAAGAGAGTGATAGAAGAACAAGCCAATTCCTAGAAAATGAAAGATTGGATAATTTTGTATTTCTCTTAAAGGTCAGAGCACATTACATGTTCACGTACTTATATTTCAGCAGAAAAGTTAAATGGTATGTTTTGGGGGCAGTTTATAGTGAAGCTAACCATGCTGCAATTTGTCTTGGAGGGGAAATGTTCTGAACCTCACAATGTAACTTAAAAGGAAAAAATTTTAACCAACCAAGAAAAAAGAAAAAACAAAACCCACAAACAAACTTTTAGCTCTCAGTTCCTTTCTATAGTGTATCAAACAGTAAGGGACTGGGTAGAAATTGAGCCTAAAAGTGAGACTGTGGCTGAGTGCGGGTCAATTGGAAGGACCTGTGCTGCCATGTGGATTTATAGACTATATTTGTCATGGGTAGAAGAGCCCTGCAGATTTCAGTTTCTCTACCACTGTCCGGGTGGTGGGAAGCTGTTGTGGTTTAACCCCAGCCAACAACCAAGAACTATCCAGCTGCTCACACACTCCCCTACCAACAGAGTGGGGGAAAGAATCAGAAGGGCAAAAGCTAGAAGAACTCTTGGGTTGAGATAAAGACAGTTCAGCAGTGAAAGCAAAAGCCACACACACAAATAAAGCAAAACACGGAATTAATTCACTGCTTCCAAAGGGCAGGACGTGTTCAGCACCTCCAGGAGAGCAGGGACCATCATGCATAATGGTTCCTTGGGGAGACAAACACCATCACTCCAGATGTCCTTCCTTCCTCCTTCTTCCTCCCACCTTATATACTGAGCATGATGTCCTATGGTATGGAATATCCCTTTGGTCAGTTTGGGTCACCTGTCCCAGCTGTGTCTCCTCCCAATCTCCCATGCATCCCCAACTTCCTTGCCAGTGTGGCAGTATGGAAAGCAGCAAAGGCCTTGGCTCTGTGTGAGCTCTGCTCAGCAACAACAAAAGCATCTCTGCATCATCAGCCCTGCGCTCTGCACAAATCCAAAACACAGCCCCATGCCAGCCACTGTGAAGAAAGTTAACTCTACTTCAGCCCAAACTAGCACAGAAGCCCTGTAGAACCATGGGTGTCTGGAAAGGAACCTTTCTAACACTCACTGTATTTAATTGCAGTGAGCCGTGCAGATAAACTGAAGGCAAATCTGGAAGATTAGTTTTAAAGATCCTGCACATTTCTAGGGTGTTATAAGGATAATTCTTTCTATAAATATGCATGAAATAGTTTCATTAAAATTTGCATTTTGAACAAAGTTGATTATCCTATTCAGATTTGAAACTGCTTTTATTTAAATACCTGTACTGGCAGGAAAACTTCAGTGTCATAACTGCTTCAGAAATGCAATCACAATGTTACAAAAAAATATATGTTCTAGTGGGAATTGAGAATGAAGTATTTGCTGGTTTTAATAACAGAAATGGGAAGGACTCAGTATCTGTGAGAGAATTCCACAAAACAAACTTGCCAGCATCAAAGGACAAGGTGTTTTTATGCTAAGAAAACTCATCTATTTGTCTCAATTTTTTTAACATGCCAATTGACCCAAGATTCCTGATTCACATTTTCCTTAATTTGAGCCCAGGAACCTACTGGTTTCAGTGTACTTGTTAGTGGCATGAATTTAATGCATAAAATGGATGTGTGCAGATACTCTGAACTTGACAAATTTTTGTCCTGATGTGGCTTGTACAAAAAATTCTGGACAAGTCACTTGGGGATTTTTTTTTGTTTGCTAACAAGGATAATTTCTTGTGCTTTTCTCAAGATCCACATGGTTATTTTACTAGATCACAACTACACTTTGTCCAGGGAAAGCTGATTAAAAGAGCCTTACTTGAGACTGAAAAGCAGAGGACAATTACACATCAACATTTAAAATGGACTTGGAGCATTTGGAGTTTAGTTACAGCTGCTATTTATGTTAAAGTCATAACTGAAAAGATTTCAAGTTAGTAAGTATCTGTATCACAGTAAGCAAACTACATTTGTATTTTAATAAATCATTTAATGTTGATTTACCAGAGACTATGATGCAGTCAGATATCACAAAGGAATTTGACCTTGTTACTTAGTAGTGGGTTAATACAAACACCATAGGAGTGGCGTTTCCCCTTGAAATCAGTAAGGCTGTGGCAGATTTACATAGGTTTGTGGTAAACAAGGATAAATTTGCGAGGTGCTACAATGAGGCTTTCCTGTACTGACTGTTGAAAACTTGAGCTTTTTACTCCTGGCAAGATTTTTATTTGAGTGTGGGAGAATTTTCTTCTCCGCCCTTCAGACTGTAAACTTGTTTATGTGCTGCTTATGTATTTCTGTGCAATATAGGCATGTGAAGAGTTCTGCCACTGCTCTGTGCATCTATGAATTTAAGTGTAGAGGCAAATAAGAACTAGGAAAAAGGGGTTAGTTTTCATGATATCATCTGTAAGAATAGCTTATCGTTAAATCCTGCCTTTTAAAATGTCCTTAAGTGCTAACATAGTTGCTATGTCGACTCTAAAATATATCACATATATTTTAACACCATTCCTAAAATAATGTCATTGTCTTCTGGTCTGAGAGAAGTGTACTGGTCTAGTTTCTCCTTGATTCTTCCATATACTTGTAATCTGGAGAAAGCATTCAGTCTTTTCCTTCATTCTGGAGGCCATCTCTGTCCACATGGATGGTAAGAAGAAGGACCTGGGGGTCCTGGTGGAAAACAAGCTGTCCATGAGCCAGCAGTGTGCCCTTGTGGTCAAGGCCAATGGAATCCTGGGTTGCATTAGGAAAAGCGTTGCCAGGAGGTGGAGAGAGGTGCTCCTGCCCCTCTCCTCAGGCCTGGAGAAGCCTCAGCTGGAGTCCTGTGTCCAGTTCTGGGCTCCTCAGAGCAACGAGCAGAAACTGTTCCAACTGAATATGGGGAAGAACTTCACTGTGTGGGTGTCTGTGCACTGGAACAGATTGCCCAGGCAGGTTGTGGAGTCTGCCTCACTGGAGATACTCAACAACCATCTGGACACAATCCTGTGCAACGTGGTCTGGGATGACCCTGCTTGAGTAGGGAATTTGGACCAGATCACAGAATGGGTATGATTTGGAAGGACCACAGTGGGTTCACTGATGACCCACTGTAGTCCCTTCCAACCTTACCCATTCTGTGATTCTGTGAATTTGGCTATTTATTTATTATTCTTGCGTGTCTTTGGCTTGTATACTAGCAGAGTTTAGGCTGCCCATCTCTTTCTCCCAAAACTATGCCCTGGGGCACAAATACCTAATGCCACAGGCACAGTGAGTTACAGGAAGTGATAAGTAGCTGTAAGTATCAAGTCCTACATAGAAAACAATGTCAAAGGTAACCTTACTTTTAATGTATTTTCACATTTGTAGATGATTTAATGTCTTAATTTCTTCTTTTTCCTCTAACAGAATAGTGAAGTGGACACTGCAATGCAGTTTTGCTTCAACAGCGTGATCAAAACACTTAAGAACATTTTAAAATAGGGTTGAATTGCAGTTGTGGAAAATCAATTGGTTTTGCCACATTTTGTTTTATCTACATAACTGCAAACGTGGATGATAAAATTAAGGAAAGCAGTGGCTGTCAAAAATGTTTCATTACAACATTGTATATTGCATTTGCTTCTGATTTACCTAATTATCTTTCTACTGTGGTTGGTTTTTTTTTTTAGGAGATCCTTAGGAATGAAAATTATAGAGAAGAAATGAAACAGAAAATCCAAGATGTATATGAAAAGGATAAGCTGCTTCAGGCCAAGGAGTACAAGGAAGGACTTATTGCTGAACCAGCTCATACTCAGGTTAAAGGCCATGCATCTGCCCCTTACTACGGGAAGCAGGAGCCCTCGGAGGATCCCACAAGCACTGCAAACACCTTCCAGCCAGGAGCCTGGATGCCACCGGGCAGTGGTAGTGGTGGTAGTCAAAAGAAATAAACAATTGTAATGTGCAGATATTGGTAATGGATAAATATGTTAACAGACCACACAAACAGCTGTTCTATATATGAGTATGCAATAAAGCAGTATTAAAGCAGTTTCACTGACTTTTGCAGAACTATTCAGATAGGCTTAATCACTAGAAACTGTTGTAAAATGTTTGGGTTTACTGGAAAACAGGATGTGTTACCATCTAAGTTTGGTTTTGACAGTTACTGTTCATCAGTTACTCTTGAATTCATAGTTAGGACATTTTCTGTCTAACTTAATTTTCTCAAATAATTCTAAATTGTTTTTTCCTTGAAGGCTAATTTATTTTTTAAAATTGTTCTTGATGTAATAAATTTTAGTTAATCAGTACACTTACATTTTCCCAAACCTTGGCCAAGATATGCTTTCAGAATAATTCCCTTGGCAGTGCCAGTGTGCTTTCCACTGGCAAGCAGATGGAAAAGTTGAATTCATTAACGGGAATCGCTATGACACTACACCGATTACACACTGTATAGAGACATTCTTGTAACTTGGAGTTAAGAAAACAGACAACGGATTTGAATAATGTTTGATTTTCAGCCAGCAATTTGCACAGAATAAAGTCAGTTAAACCACATACAACTACTATAATAGAGGCTAAAACTACTTGATAAAGAAAATAACATGGAGCTTGGGACAAGAGACTGTCACGAATATTTTAAAACCAGTAGGGCTTTCTTCTGGTGTATGCATGGACTTCCCTAAATGATTAGAGCACTTTGGCCATAGTTTAGATACATGAAATGCAGAGGTAATTTGCTTAAAGATGATGCTCGAGAACTTCAAATAAAAATAAAGACCACACAATATTTTTCAAAAAGTATCAAATTTATTTATTGAATGCATCCCCATTCAGTCCTCCTCCCTGTGTTTCAAGCTATGTAGGTATCAAAGGTGGAACATACACTTCACAGAATCACAGAATATTCAGAGCTGGAAGTGACCCACAAGGATCACTAAGTCCAACTCCTGGCCCAGCACAGAACAGTCCCCAGGACTACACCGTGTGCCTGAGAGCATTGACCAAATGCTTCTTGAGCTCTTTCAGGCTTAGGGCTGTGACCACTACCCTGGGGAACTGTTCCAGTGCCCAGAGACCTCTGGTGAAGGAGCTTTATCTGGTATCTAACATAAACCTCTGCTGACACTTCACACAAAACACAGGGACTTAAATCTCACATAGTTACAAAATGCCCAAATGTCATATTCTGATAATGCTTGCTTTCACCAACAAAATTGAAAAGGAATCAACTTGACATTTACTGCAAGTAATTTCAGTTAGACTCCCCATTTCTGATCCCCCATGGTGTCAGCCAGCTCTATAGTTGTCTTCATTTGAACAACGGTATTGTTTTAACATTTTATTTTTAAACATAATGAAAGACTAACTGTACAGTTCTGTGCTGCTGTTTAGAAATACACAAAATGTAAAAACTAAATGACTGCCACAAGCTCTTCTGAACTATGCTATTAATAAAAATTAGGCTTTGAAAAATTAATCAAGTTCTGTTAGAGAAACATGAATTGGAAATAAGGTTAAATAATGTTGGCATATTTACAACAACAACCTTTTTTTTTCCAGTATGCCAGTATTTTGCAACCTGTAAGACAGCAGACTTTCAAGGTCCATGAGAACAAAAATCCCACCTAAACTCAGAAGGTCCTAGATTAAAGGTAGCAGGTTATCAAGTAGGAAGAACTACTGTCAACAGCATGTGCATCCCCCCACAGCCTCTGTTATCAGTGACCAGGACACAGAACACTAGGCCACCTGGATCTTTGGTCTCACCCCATTTATGGCTATTCTTTGAGGCATAAAGAGTTTCTGAAGGCAGAAACAAATTAGTTACAGGTGGAGTGTTCAGGCGGTTGTTAGGAATGACCAAACAACATAGTATTTTATTTTGTAGAACATGAGTGCCTTAAGACAAACGAAGCTGGTAAGAACAAGCAATCAGTTTATCCTTCAGTGTGGGCTGAATGTAAAGGTTGTTGATTGCTGGTGGTTCAGAAGCTAAGGTAGCTTCTTTCTGCAGACAAGCCCCATCATCAAAGACACTACAGCAGCCCCTGTGGGCACACACAGCTGAATGAACCACATGCCATACGGTATCGTTAAAGGAAATCAGTCATGTTTGCTACCTAGTGCTACAACTAATCTCTACAGCTCTGCTGAAGATATGCCAAAACTTGCATTTCTGTAATCCAGTTTACTATTCACATTTTCTCCTAAATTTGACAATTTTAAGACACTTGTTTAAGTCATAGCTCAGCTAAGATAAAAAAAAATCTACCTCCAGAGTTGCCCAACAAGTTAATTGTTTAATTTAACATGCAAATTTCAAAAAGCAACCTGCACTAGAACACAAGTAATAGATTTAATGACTCTTAACAAGTGTCACTTGGGCAAATATTAACACAAATCATCAGAAAAGAAATACACTGGAAGTATTAAATTTCATACTTCAAGAAACAACAGGATCAAGTATCAAAGGACAGTTACAACACAAAACATACAAGTGTTTCATTGAAAAAGTGGATTCTTCGCACAAGGATGGCCATTTCTGCCCATTTAATCCTTCTTTGTTCGTTTGGCTTTTGCAATGTTCTCTTGGCGCTTCTGTTTCTTCTTTTGCTCTCGCTCCCTGGCCTCGATCATTTTCGCAAGCTTCCATGAAAGTGCTGCACTAATGATGAACAGTGGTGTAAGGGCCAAGATGACAGTCGTGAGAAAGCCATATGGGTCCTTTGCAGCCCACTCCACGATGTACTCAGCCCAAGCCTTAATATCCAGCATCTTTTCTGTTGGGAAAACCCTGTGGAACAATTGAAAAAATAATTTAAGGGTACTCCAAAAAAACTAAAAGCACACACAGAAAGATAAGGGGGTAGAAGGGACCTTAAAGATCATCCAGTGATGACAGTCGTGAGAAAGCCATATGGGTCCTTTGCAGCCCACTCCACGATGTACTCAGCCCAAGCCTTAATATCCAGCATCTTTTCTGTTGGGAAAACCCTGTGGAACAATTGAAAAAATAATTTAAGGGTACTCCAAAAAAACTAAAAGCACACACAGAAAGATAAGGGGGTAGAAGGGACCTTAAAGATCATCCAGTCCCAATCCAATCCCCATGGGCAGGGACATCTCCCACTAGATCAGGTTGCTCAAGGCTTTAGCCAACCTGGATTTGAACACTGCCAGGGTTGGGGTGCCCACAACCTCCCTGGGCAACCTGTGCCAATGCAGGAGATACACTAGTCCTCTGAGCAACTTTGTGGCCTCCTCCAGATTTGCTCACACACAGTAAACACTGTTTTAATTGAAGTCATCACCTTTCACCATGAAAGCACTAGCTCATTTTTGCTCAAAGTTAAAACTAGTGCACAGCATGTGAAGGTGTGACAGAAAGCACTGACCCCAAGGTTCAGTATTTACAAAATCATTAGGCATTTCATCCAACAGAGCTGCTGATATCCCTGTGGTTGAACCACTCCTTGTCCTATCACTGCAGTTCCTAGCAAAGACTTCCCCTCCAGCTTCCCTGTAGCCCCTTCAGATAGTGAGAAGTTGCCATAATGTCTCTACACAACCTTCTCTTCTCCAGACTGATTAGCCCCAACTTTCTCAGCCTGTCCTCACCAGGGGAGATACACTAGTCCTCTGACCAACTTTGTGGCCTCCTCCAGATTTGCTCACACACAGTAAACACTGTTTTAATTGAAGTCATCACCTCTCACCATGAAAGCACAAGCTCATTTTTGTTCTAGGTTAAAACTAGGGCACAGCATGTGAAAGTGTAACACAAAGCACTGACTCCGAAGTTCAGTATTTATAAAATCATCGGGCATTTCACGGCAAAGAGCTGCTGATACCCCTGTGGCTGAACAGGGGTTCAACAACGGGTTCAACAACAAGGGTATCTAGTTCAACAGTTAGACGAACATAGCTAGTTCAACATAGCTAGATGAAACTAGACGGTCCTTAACGTCTCTTCCAACTCAAACCATTCTATGATAAGGATGATGTTATGATACTACAAAGAATCACCTACTAAGCAGAAACAGAGCGGAAGAGAAGGAAAACCAGCCGGCTCGGTTCACCTCTCCAAAGGTTTCCCTAGGGAGGCGAGGGCAGCGCTGTAGAGTTAAGACACCAAACCAGCAGCAGTAAACAAGTCCAAAACACCTGACCGACCCCCGCGGCGCCTGGCCCGGTGCGGGCGGCACCGCCTCA